GTATACCTTTACTTTTTAATCTATTATAACAAAATAAGACATGCTATGTTTAAAATAGAAACCACCAGATATAATTCTAATTTGACAGATAATGTGTGGTTAAGATGTTTACATTAAATGGTCATTGACGTCATTATTTGGTCTTTATTTGGTTTTGTGGGATATTTATTTAATTAATATCATCGCTCAAAATGGAATAAAAGAAACAATGGGCTCATTCAGCAATTTTTTTTATTTGCTTAATGGAAAGATATTGCAATTTTAAGGTTCTTTGCAAAAAACTAGAATTTTATATCGTTTACAAGTCATCGAAAGAAAATCATAAACTGGCGCGCTGAGTATCCGCTGAAACGGCGGGTGTGACGCCACCGCATGGGAAACCGCTGCCGCATGCTTGCGTGTGTTGTCAGTCAGTCGAGTAGTCGGGTTTTAGATGCCTGTTAAGTTTCTATTGAGATTAAGTTAAGATACCGATTTTTTTTTAGAAATATGGAAGACATAATAGAAAAAAATTACAAATATTGTATTGTTCCCCAGTGTGAGACCACTAGTGTGAAAAGATCTAAGTCACTACTTTGATTTGTTTTTCTTTTAATATCTTTTATGGGAAAAATTACTTACTTTGAAAGCAACAAAACTACCCTGCCTAATTTAGGTATGTAATAAATACGTTTGTATCCTCTAGAAACACTACAATTGTGTTAGTGTTTTTCCATTGTTGATTTTTTGTGAATATTATACAAATACCTATGGGTATAGGTACTAAGTATTTATATGAAAATACATAATAAATATTGTATTATTAATACGTAGATTTATGTAGATTTAGGGGAATAAAAATTGTAATAAGCATTTGATTAGGGAAATCTTTGAAACCTGCCACAGAAATGGTTTCCAATTAAACGCAAAATCCTTATTCTTATTTACTATTCTTATTGTACAAAAACATCAAAACTTGCGCTATAAACATACTTTATAGAAGCTTTACACGTTATTGAAACATACCTTTGCACTTTCACTCCTCTCATCTCAGCACTGACAAAGTCGTAGTTTTTATTAAAAAACCCTTAACCATTAACAAACCTACTTCTAGCAAATTAGAAATTTTTGGTTTAATTTTTTAAATTTAATATGCATAAACGCTAAAACATCTATGTGGTAGGTACTGCAACGATTCTATAGAAACTCATCTGGAAGTAGCGTACACCAGCTGACTGTCCCATGCGGTGACGTCATTGCATTGCCATGGCTGAGACAAATATTCGCATTTTAAAACTCATATAGTTTGAAAACTGCTCAACGGATTGAGTTGAAATTTTCAGAATCACCTAATCATGAGCAATACTTTGTGTATACAAAATAAGAACGTTTTTGAAACTTACTGAATGACCCCATTCCGTGTGATTATGATTAACTTCCAGTTGATTTTACGGACAAAAAGAAAATTACAATATCCGCCCCAAAACTACGTCTGCGTACAGGATATGTTCTATGTTCGTGTTATAACCTCGAGAGATTGATCTTTGGATAATTTTAAAACAAAAATCCAAAGGTCTAAAGCCACTGATTGAGATATGTTATTATTATGGAACTCTCAGTGACAAACTTACCAAATATCTCTGCCACTGGCTAACATAATTTGTATACCAATTCAGTGAGATTTTACCTATAACTAAGTTTCATCAATCTGCATCAAGTATCTTCAGAGATTTTTGAATAAATGCAATGGTCTAAGGAATAGCCTCCTGAAATGATGGAAAGGACTTAGAAAACATCCTTTAAGCTTTTATAATGTCAGTGTGCTGAAACAGACATGGCTCTGGTTTACGAGATATCCTAACCTAAATGTGCCAAAATCACGATTTTTTGACATATTATTTGAGGTTATATTACATGGATAGATATTTTTTTTTACTAAAACCATTAATGGAGTGCTAATTTTGAGGTGTTCAATATCAGTCTGATATCTGAGTCACGTTAGCAGATTAGCATAATTTTCTAACCCCAAAAATACAGCATATGCATTATAATTCATTCATCTTTCGCATATAGCAAATGTAAATCTATCTAATTTCAATTTTAACACAGTTACTTTTTCTATAATAGGACATTCCTATGTGTGAGATGCTTGCATCTGTGATTTAAAAACGCACAGCTGTGGACAATAAAATGTTTCCAACGCTTATTGCTTATTGTAAATATACTTTTGTTGTTGCTAGCTCAAGCTTCGCCTAATTCTGCTATCACAGAATGGAATTACTTTATACTAATTCTAATACCTGTGTTCTTAAGTTACTTAGTCATAATATTATCTAATAAGTTTAATTAATATCAAAGACAAAACATTTTCAGGGCAAATGTTTATTTTTATGGCAGATTTTAATTATTTTTCAACAAATAATAATATTAACACCAAAGTAGTAGTAAAGTAGTTTTTACTATCTACTGGTTAACAAAAATTGGAAATTGTAGGATTTTCAGTTCTACAATCTGTTAATATTAACCGTAGAAAACATTATTTAATCGTGGGCATTATTTATTTTATTTTAAAACATTTGAAATGTGTATAAAAACTAGTAAGTAAATACAGCTGCTTCTTACAATGTTCGTTACATTTGGATGCGGCTAAAATGCGCCGTAGTCAAAAGTCCGATTTAAATAGGTAAAACTTAAACATTTCACTACTTTAGATTGGATTTTATTTTCTACAGCTGTACATCAGATAAAACGTTTTAATTTATATTGATATAATAATTTCGAGTAATTATTCTTTATTACGATTTTAGACGATACAGAGTAGCAACGTCTAAAAGAATTCGCAGCAGGTTAAATATAATTTTATATCTAGCACAATCAATGAGAGTAGTTCATTTAATATTACTGCTTGAGACACTGCTATTGAAAGACAATGCAGATTGTTTCCGATAGCTAAAGCTCTGCGGACACTGCAACTGACATGGCGCAAAAATATCTTATTCTGGATACGAAGAATCGCACTATGCATAGGCTTTAACCGTTGAGTCTTTAACTTTAATGTTCTATCAAGTCAGTGATAGGACTGATAAGCAACTATACGATCGCTATCTATTTTTTATTCTCTCTGCCGTGTGCTAATAAATAATGTTAGGAACTATTTATGACTCAATTGATCGGTCTATTTCCTTCATCCAACTTTTATTACATTGTCGTAATGACATTATTAAATCGAGGTTCGGCATGTGTAGTGTAGTGGGTAGTGGGTATATTTCATGTTCGCATTTTTCTGAGATCTGTCTTTTTGTGATAATGGGGACGATATGAATATTTTTACTTTTATGACAGTTTCAATTGTACCTAATTTGTTTGAATTAAAAACAATGTCTAAACATTAATCATGTTTAGACATTGTTCAATAAAGATATTTTATTTAATACAATTTACTTAAAAAAAGTATTAATTTGGGAATTCCGTGAACATTAAGGTGAAATTTTCTCATTAATTAAGCGCACAACACAATGTTAATAAAAGTAGTAAAAGTTTCTTTTGACTCATATAGTTGATGAATCTAAAATTTGATATTTATAGTTATGAGAGTCCAAAACTTGGCAAAAAAATTAAGGGAACAAAAAAATTTCCAAATTTTTTTAGTGATCTTTGAAAGGCTGTAGCGCGTGAATAAAGGTCGTATCAAGAAAATAAAAAAGGCATCTTGAAGATTCTAGTTTTGAAATCTTGAGATGAAAAATACTTTTGAGCATAACTCTCGGCGCAATCAAAAGAACTTACAAAAGTCTTGTATTTGAGCATAGCTTAATATAACAAATATTTATTTTGACTACATTGGAAAGAGATAAAGAATAAGAGATTTCGGCTTTTTAGGATCCTTAACAAACCATATTTAGGTAGGTTTCGTTGAGAGATTTAAATATTTAGCAGATAAATGATAATAAATAAATTACTTAATCTAGTACCACAACAAACACTAAAAATCAAAATAACTCGGAAACGCACAGGAATTTCGAAACATAAGAATGGACATTATTTTTGTTAAACTGTATGTAGATAATGAAAATAACAGTTTTTAAAAAAATAGTTATTGGCGTAGAAGTTCTGTTTAAGAAAGAGGTTGAGCACCCCCTCCACTCCGCCACTGTGCAAGTTTTTAAACATTCTTATCGTTTATTTTATGTCCCTTAATTAATAGGCATTACCTCCCAAACATGAAAAAAATCTAAGCATTCGTATATGTTATAACGAAAATTCGAGAAAAAAAAATTATATTCAACATACTGTATCTCGGAAACGACATATGTTTATAGGAACTTTTCTTTTTAAAAACATGTGTTCTATCTCCTGTTAAAGTTTGTCTACAAAACACTAACTCACCCTGTATAAAATGCATTGTTACAATGTTATTATGCAATTGACTGTAAATCTACTTTATGTTTTTAGAAATAATTGTAAAAATGGCGTTGTAAAAGTACTTTTTGTATTATGTTACTACAATAGGACAATGTAAAATTACGCTGTAAAATAGTTTTACAATGAAACTTTACAATTTATTTATAAAATCGCAGTCGTTATGAATTAGGAAGGGTAAATAAATTGGCATCTACCTTTAATGTAATCTGTTTTTTAGTTAATATTAAGTAATAAGGGTCTTAACAATCTCTTAATTTTGGAAACGTGTTTTTTAGAATTCACTTAAAATTAAGTTATAAAAAAACTTAAATATTTATAAAAAGTACAAAAAAAAAATTAAATATTAAATAATATTTGAATTCAGAGTTTAAAACGTACGTTTTTACAATCAAATACTATCAACGAACGAGGCACATTCCATCATAAAGAAGACGTCCTTAACAAATGCTTGAATGGACTTCTCTTGTTCATTGATCGATAAATCAACATCTTACATTGTAAAGCATCCTACGTTATATTTTTTATCGCTTATCTGCAGCCGATAAAAAGTTTAGTTCCACCGACAGTCAGGTAGTCGCTCTGGCGATAAAGGGTGACAGTCCCTCGAAAATTTATCCCTACCAGCCCGCCAGCACCAGATTTTCGAACTTGGGAGAGCAACAGTTGAACAATATGGTGTGGAGTCAGTCGATCTAAACGCCCGCGTAGAATAGCATCAGCACCGTCGACCTCCCAGTTCGCATTAACCACGATGTGGTAAAACCTTGACTATGTATTTGTTTACTGTACTCGCTTGCTTAGTAATAGATAAGGCAGTATTTTCTCACGGTTACACCAATGAGAAGTGTTGTAGATCCGGCGAGTACTTGAAGGAGACAGATAATACTTACAATTGCACCGAAAACGTAAGTAAACGGTTCGATGTCTTGACGAACGAGACGAATTTTTTGGAAAGAGGCGTCGACGGTGAATGCGTGGACGCGACGCCCGAGTTTTCGATTTTCAAAGTAGTGGCCGGACAACCTGTTGGTGTAAGGCCCTTCGAGGAACCGTATTTTCCTAAATGTTGCCCTTTGAACTACACCTACAACACCGTGCTGCATTCTTGCGAAGAAAGAGAAAACGCCACCCACTGGTACATCAGAGAGACTTTCGTTAAAGTTGGATTGCCCGATTGTAAGGTAATAGTGGATTTTCATCTAAATGAAGAGAATGCGTCCGACTTGTACGCTCGCATCGTGGACATTAGAAGACACTCCGAATACTGCGTCGATGAGAATGAGAATGGAACTTTCACAATGAGGGAATGTAGAATGGACACTGATATATGTGATCGTATAAGGTGTGTGAAAAAATGCTGCCCGGATGGACAGAGCTTCATTAATGGACCTCACTGTCGCGACACTTACACAAACGGTTTGAATTTAAGATCTTCATCGGTCGTAGACAGTCCAGAAGGTAGGTTAAAGTTATAAACAATTTGTTAATAAAATTAACATCCATTTTATCTACAGGGTGGACCTTAAGTAATTGTACATAGAAGTATGGTAGATTTGTGACTATAAAATATTACGATTTGAGCCAACTTACCTTAATAAAATATTGATAATAAGAAAGATACAGGGTGTTATAAGTGAAATTTGAAAATTTATTTTTCGCAATAACTTGAACGTTTTTGGACGTTTATACAAAAAAATAACGTTTTTTTTTGGTATGAGAATTCATAATTTGGTATTTGGTACTTTAACGTATTTTTTAGAGGGCGCCACATAAGCCACGTGTGTGGCATAAATATAGGTACGCTAAACTTGTTTGCCCATCAAGGTAGCGCTCTTTTTGGAAAAAAGTATTAAAGGCACGGCATTGTAAGAACAAATATTCTTCTTTCATCGACACGGTCGATAGCCACACGGTTTAAGGCGTCAGTACTTAAATCGATGTGTCGATCTGCCCGGGTTTCGAATCCCGCGGCCGGTAGACCGTAGATTAGCTATGCTTATACGGAGGATTGGCACCCTCTGTGCAGGTATGGTAGGGTGGAAAAATGTTGGCTTGGGTCAATGTGAGAGATTGACACCGGATGGCATTTGACCACCCCCCTAATTAATGAGGTTTTCCAGATTTCCCTCATTCCTGCACTGAATGGTGGTTAGGGCCTACCAACATAAGTCGTTCCTGGGCGCAAATGCGGCCTGCGTAATAATAATATGCCGCCTCCTCTCCCGCACAAGTCTCCGACTTCTAGGCTAATTCTCGTAGTTAGAATGAGGAGTAAATATATTATATTATTATTCATTACGAGAAATATGAACGTAGAAGTCGTATACGCTTTTCATGTGTTTATAGCAATAGGATGAATATTAACGTAATAGTAGTTGACACCAAAAATTTAAAAATTAAAAAAAAAAATAAAAATTAAGTAAAAACTAAGTTAAATTATAAGTTTAATAATCATAATTATAAATGCAATACATTTTACACAAATTAAGAACAGAAGAAACTAAGCTAACTAACATTACAAGTTTAATTATGTCAAAGTAAGCGTTCGATATGTCCACCATTCTCTTCGATGTATTTCATAAAACATCGCCTCATATTAAATAACATCATTGGTCCAAAAGAAACTGCAGCTGCATTTATTTCTTCCCAAAATTGGTTGCGAGTATTTATGGGATGTTTATAAACAAGTTGTTTCATTGTGCCCCATACGCCAAAATCGAGAGGATTTAAGTCTGGGCTACGTGCTGGCTAAGGGAAAGCGTTCAGGAAAGTTAGTACTTAAATATGTTCTGACTTCTCTCATATAATGTGGTGGTGCACTATCTTGCATAATCCACATATTTTGCCTTAAATTTAGTGGCAATTCTTTCAAAACATCACTGAAGTCATTTTGTAAAAAATGTAAATAGTTCTCACCATTTAAAGTATGCGGGAACTCGTATTGCCCTAAAAAATTGTCACCAATGATCCCACACCATACGTTTATTTTGAATTCGTGTTAAAAATGTCTTTCTCTTTTAACATGGGGATTTTCAGTTTCCCAGTTTTCCATAAATTAAAAATACCATGGTGGGTAAATGTTGCCTCGTCCGTAAATAATATTAATAAAGGTGGGGTCAAGATTTTGCCTGTTTCAGATATCACTAGATCTGCTGGCAATAAATTTTACACAGGCGTAAAATATGTAATAGAGGTGCAGTTTGTTCAAAACGAAACTGAAGTTTTACCGATTCCTATAGCTGAAGATAACCTTCGTGTACTTGAGGATCATCTGCAACGCGAACCATTATTTCATCTTCTTGATCAGAATGATTCTTGGTCGGCCTAAATTATCACGTTTAGGAACAAATGAACCACTTTTGTCTTAAATTATCACGTTTAGGACGAAAAGAACCATTTTCGCCTAAATTTCTAAATAGATTTTGAAATATTTGTTGATTAGGTTGAAGCCTGTTTGAAATTTCTGCATTAGAAAAATTTTTGTCTCGGCATTTTCTGCCATTCATTAATTATGTGAAATATTCAATTAAAACTATTACAAACGTCATAAATTATGGAAAGAAGAAAGTTTAGTTGTTAAAATAATTCCTGACATCCGCTTACTACGTTTCTCGTAATGAATTAAAGAAGAATTATGAAGCCGATTTTTAAAATTCCATTATCTCGGAAACTGTTAAGTTTAGAGGTTGTTGATGAGTATACATTTTTGGCGTGCCTTTAATTTTTTTTCCAAAAAGAGCGCTACTCTTATGGACAAAAAAGTTTAGCGTACATTTATGCCACACATGTGGCTTATGTGGCGCCCTTTAAAAAATATATTAGAGTAGATGCCAAATTATGATTTTTCATACCAAAAAACCCCAATTAAATTTTTTTTGTAGTTATTTCGAAAAATAAATTTTGAAATTTCACTTTTAACATTTCTGTATCTTTCTTATACAGGGTAGGAAAGTACCGATGGTCTATCTGAAGTTACGTGAGAGCGATAAAGTAAGCCATAGAAATCCATGCGATAGAGAAGGATGGCTATAATGAAGGCCTCTCATAGTCACCGCCCGTTTCGCCCTTCCACAAATAAGATCCACTTCTTATTTGTGGAAGGGCGAAATGGGCGTTGACTATTAGACGCCTTCATTATAGCCATCCTTGTCTATCACATGGATTTCTATGGCTTACTTTATCGCTCTCACGTAACTTCTGATAGACCATCGGTATTTTCCTATACTGTATAGATAATATTTTATTAAGACAAGTTGGCTTAAATCGTAACATTTTAATGTCACAAATCTACCATGCTTCTATGTACAATTACTTAAGGACCACCCTGTATAAATAAATAAAATTTATGTAATGTTAATGTACAGGGTATCCCACGAGATAAAGTTTAACGGAAAAATATTCCGGTAAAAATAAGCAAAAGAGTTTATATAAACTTACTCCAAATACACCGCAGAAGATAATCAATATTTTGAAATATTTGTTGCTAATGCCTAATGCTAGCTTCACAAAATTTGGTGATACCAGAAATTTACAAAACGGTGCCACACTACAGTTACCAGTGTAATAGATAAACGGGGAGGACTGGGAGACGGAATTGATTGATGCGTCACTTTTATATGAATTACCTAATTTTTTTTATATTTCTATATATGTCATTAAAACGCATTTCGTAAAATTTATAACTACAATTTTTCTGTTTATTTAGTAAGCATATTTCGCAAATTTTTGTTAATAGGATAGTTAACCAATTAAATAAAATGTGCCTAAAAGTTCTCGTTCTCGCCTGTCACTTAACCTAATCTCTCTGTCAATTGTCATAGAACTAAATTCAACGCTTCGTTTCATTAAAATTTTGCAAATCTAAGGACATGTTCTAGGACAGTGTTGTAATACAGGGTGTTTCCTAAGTACGATCCGTAACTTCAGGACACAACACTCTTTTAGTGTGACGTCATATATTTAGGCAACCCGCAACAAATTGCCACAGTTGAAATTGTATTGTACAGATCGAATTTGATCTTTGTTTACTATTTACATAAATACTATAGAAATGACAACTTTTTTTTAAGGATTTAAAAGTATTTAAGAATAGCCAACATGTGTTTCGTAAAATAGATGTACTAATGTGCTTAAAACCTACAAAAAACGATATAAAATATTCTTAAATTTAAATAAAGTAAAAATTTAACATTAGCCGTGTTATTCCTAATGCGCATGCTCGGAAAGAATAGCCTCATATGCAGGTGAGATCATGTTGATATGTCATCGCTGTCATCATTAGCGTATTTTCCCTTCTTTTGGTTAATCTTGGCATTTTCTAGCTCTACTAAGTAGTTTTATTGTTTTTCTTGGTGTTGTGCTATGTCAGTGTGTTTATCGAGTATTTTTTTTCTTCATGCAGTTTATTATAGACGTACTCTTAACCATATTCAAACTTTTCTTGAATGATATCCTGTGACGAGGCTACTTCGCTTATATGAAATTATCTTTAATACGCATGTTCAGTAGCATTGATATAATTTTGATTTATTAATTACTATAAAAGTCAAAATTGTTCTATTTTAAATATATAAATTCTATCATTCTTTTAGTTTGTCACTTGAGGCTTGAAACTTCTTAAATATTTCTAATATTGCCAGAATATGGCGATATTGAAGGTTATGACAAAGAAGTCATTTGTTTAACATTTATGTCCAAAGTACATAAGTTCGAACATCGATCTAGTAAAAATATTGAGAATTCTTCATGACAATGTGTACTATGGGGTTGCCTATTATTTGAAGTATGTGACATCACTACTAAAAAGGTGTATTACTAATTTCATAATGAAGCTTTATACATTCCTTTGGAAATACTAGATCGGCCGTTTAGTGGCTTACGGAATTGCAGCTGAATACTACTTATCTATTGAAAACATTATGGACTAAAAAATTAGGGCAAATCACCATGCAAACTATTAAAAGCTTAGCTATTCTCATTTATGTCACTGACAGAGGAATTAGGTAAAATATTTTAACTACCTAGACAGATAAAGTTCCAGCTCAAATGGTTATGATAAAATTGTGTTTTCAAATATGGTAGTCCAAAAAGTGTTTTATACACATCATATTCTCTCACTTAAATTATTTAGAGTAAAAATTTAAAGATTTCTCATGGTTACCTAGTATAAATTATGAATCTTGTTAACAGAATATTTATTGAATAAAAAACTATTTAGTTTACGATATAAAAATCATTACAGTAAAACATAAATAACCAGTTTAAAAGAAGTTTTCAATACCTAATTATTTCAATGTAAATTTAAAAAGTTATTAATCGCATTTACGTTTTACGATCATTAAAATACTATGTTACACATTTTGACAATTTTGTGGCTAATTTACATTATTTATTAATGAATTTGAACTGCCAATGGTCTATTTATAAGAGAAGGACATCGGCAAACTTAAAAGTCAAAG